CCACATTTGCTTATGCACCCATTTGTCTTCAGCAGTTGTGTCAGAAGGTGAGCATCATAGAACGCTGGCAAGTTCTTTGCATTTTCCTTCAGATGAGAATGTGTTGATTTCTTCTTCAGTCCTGAAGGGCATGTTCACTGGGCACGGGTTTACGTTCTTTCACCTTCTGGCATCTTTTCTCCCCTCCAAAATCTGCTGTCCTTCCAAGTGAGCTGTTGGTTCTTACACGACCTGCCATGGTCTTAGACTTTGTCATGGTCCACAGCTCTCACGAGTTGGACTCTGGTGTCTTGGTGTGTATTTCTGTGCATTTATCCTGTTCAGGGTTCACTCAACTTCTTGAATCTGTGGGTTTATCCAAGTCTTTTGCCAGGTGTGGGGCATTTTCAGCCCTTAGGTCTTTGAGTACTTTTTCAGTGCCCCCTTCCATCTCCACTCCTTTGGAGACTTGGTTGACACAGACGGTTCGCGATAGCCCCACAGCTCCCTCGGGCTGGCCTGTCTATGGTTGTGTCTTCCAGTTCACAGACTCTTGCCTTGGTCCTCTCCATTCTTCTCTTGAGCCCGTTCATTGGCGTTTTTCATTTCACTGTGATTACCATTTCAGTTCCAGTTTCCATGACAGGAGCCCAGGTGGCGTAGTGGGAGACACGCTGGGCTGCTAACCACACGCTCAGCAGTTCGAATTCACCAGCTGCTCCGAGGGAGAAAGAGGAGGCCATCTACCCCCGTTTAAACACAAAAACCTCTGCGACTGTAAAGAGTTTCAGAAGTCTACGAGCCCATTCCACCCACCTTATAGGGTCACCCTGAGCAGATTAGACTTGAGGGCAGTGAGTGTGTAGTTGAGACATTTTCCATTTGGGTCCGTTTCATTGCTGATAGTTTGTATTTCTTTGCTAAAACGTCATGTTTTTGCTTGCTGAGGAACTGTGATGAAGGCTGCTTTAATAGCTTTGTCAGGTAATTGAAACGTCCTGTCATCTTGGGTTTAGCATCTCTTGCCTTTCTAATTTTTTATTCATTTTGAGATTGCCTTGGCTTCTGATAGGAGAGTGCTACTTTCCCCTCCTTTTTCATTGCTATAAACAATGGCACAGCACTGGCCAATTCGACATTTTCCAGGTGTACGATTCATCGTGCTGTGTCCCACCACCCAGGAATAGCGATTTGTGCTGAAACCTGCAGTTGGGGTATAAGATAGTTTATTGTGTTAGCCTGGCCAATAAACACAAGTGGGATTAACTGAAGAAGGGCAGAGAGGTAAATGGCTTGGTGAACCTCGTCTTTCTTTTCTCTCGCTCTTTGATCATTGGACCAGTGTGCGGCTGCCTTGCTTGTTCTGTGCCTCAATGTAAAGGCTACACTACCTGTGGGACGCCTAGCCTGTGGACTGTCGCTATAAGTTGAGGTCCCTTTAAGACATCTCTGGAGCTGGGGACTAGCGGTTGGTGACCTGCCTTGTGATTGGCTGCTGTGCTGACACAGCCTAGCTCTCTCTATAAATAGAGGAAGATCTGACAGCAGACTGGACTTGAAGGACTGCTATTCTCTTACAACTCTCACGGGAGTGAGTTGAATTGAGCCATTTGTAGTGCTAATTTAACTGTTTCTTTCTTGTATTAGATATTTATCTGTATATGATTTAACAGTTCATTTCTTGTTATATATCTAATTATCTTTATAAATAAATAATCAGCAATTTGGTTTTATCTCTCTAGAGAACTCTAACACAGGGTATTACGTCATGAGACACTGGCTGTCTTCCACCCATCAGTGTTCACAGGCTTTCTCTGGCATCTCTCAGGGAAGGACGACACACGACCTTGTCCTGTGGGAGGGGAGTTGGCGCCTAGTCTCCACACTCAGGTTCTGCGTGGGGTTGGGGTAGGTGTTCTGGTTTCTCCCCAGGTCTCCACTAAGATCTCCTTGGTAGAAGGGGTGCCTCATGACTGCTCCCCACGGACGTCTCATGTGTAAGAAGGGATGGCCTCCTTCTGAGAGGGCAGCAGGTGCAAGTCCTGACTCTTCACCAGCCCTTCTCTGATATCACCCGTGGGAGTGGGGAGAGGCACTCACAGCCATAGAGTCAATCCCAACTCATGGCAACCCCATAGGGCATGGTCCCCTATCGAGGTTTCCAGGCTGTGGTCTACAGAAGCAGACTGATACATTTTCTCCCTCGGAGCAGCTAGTGGATTTTTTAAAAAATCATTTGATTGGGGGCTCATAGAACTCATCACAAACCATACATCCATCGTGTCAAGCACATTTGTAGCCTTCATCATTCTCAAAACATTTGCTTTCTACTTGAGCCCTTTTAGCTCATTTTCCCCTCCCCACCCATTAACCCTTGATAATTTACAAATTATTATTTTGTCATATCTTACACTGTCTGATGGTCTCCCTTCACCTGCTTTTTTGTTGTCCATCCCCCAGGGAGGTTATATGTAGATCCTTGTAATTGGATCCCCCTTTCCACCCCACCTTCCCTCCACCCTCCCAGTATCGCCACTCTCAGCAC